CAAAATCAGTTTTTTTTTTTCTCGAACACTTCAATTAAAGCTAACCTCTACCAGGCTAGTTTTCGAGGAAATAACTGATCCTGGGCCATAGAAGATCCAATCCACGACCCACGGAGAGCAATAAAAGGGGTACTTAACCACTTTGCACCTATTAGATAGCGATTAGTGAACTTTAAAGAATGTGACAACCCCCGTCGCGAATAGGATCTTCTCTGGTATATTATCCCTTTATTTCGGCCAATTTCTACTATTTTTCCAGCGATCCGCGGTGGCTTATAGAGGCTACATTCAAGCATGCTAAAGTACTTAATATCTTTTAAGAATCCTAATCATAGTATTTCTTTGTGTTTTGGGAATTATGTTGCATGTAAACGCTATCAAAATATTTCAACAGTGTTTAGCTCAAATCCTTCGTTGTTGAGATGCCATTGCTGTTGAGCATAGAAACAGGAAGTACTGCAACCAAGAAGGTTACTTTCTTGATTTAACCGAAACTGTGATAATATCTTATAATATAATTATTGATCATCATTTTGTACCGGCCATACCTGGGGTATGGTGTAAAAGAGTTGACTAAGAGGCGGTAGTGGACGAGATCTACGGAGGCGTGAAGAAAACGCTACCGATCTCAACCACCCAGGAGGGCAAAATCGCTGGGGGCGAGATCGCTGTGACACCGGTGTCTATATCGGGAACATGCGGCGTTGGCCCGTTGGAAATGTGACTCATGCATAACGTAGTATAAAAAAGTAACAGACATAACTAGTAGTGTCCCAGTTACGGAAGTCTTGTAATGTAAGGAGAGTGGGGCTGCAGGTTGACTATTTTACGACAGATGCTGGTGTTAAACCGAAGGGCTGTTATACCAGCAATACAGATACAGACCTTTCAAAACACTTTCTATATGCATTCTAATTATGAAATTTTAGATTGCTTTTTCTTAAACACACTGGGTTTAGTGAATATAGAAAAAGCTGTTTTAAATGTTTCCCATGTTTTCATCGTTATTTAAATTCCAGATGTGAATGAGTGTGCCACTTATGGCGGACAGGGTCCGTGTGATCCTAACCATGGCGTCTGCCGTAATTTGCCAGGAAGCTACAGTTGCTGGTGCCAGGTTGGATATGAGCTTAAGAATGAGCAGTACGAGTGCAAAGGTATGTACTTATCATCATTAAAGTCCCAGCTTGTGTTCATCATTAAATGCATAACATTGGCTGTTATATAATTTAAATTATATAAAAAAGGAACTTTAATATATGTTGGAGCAATAGAACCCCCTACTTTGTATCCTAACTAAGAACCTACTATCAAAAAGACGGTTCTTTGTTGATTTCAACAACGATCGTAGTAGATGGAAAAGCGCCCCCCCCTAAGGCAGCGTACGTGCACCCATGCTGTTTAACATCCTCACTAATGATCAACCATGTTCATCCTGACAGAATGAGTTTCCTGTTTGCTGATGATTTCAGCATCGGGGCAGAGGATTCAACTATTCTTGCTTATAGATACAAACAGAAGTTTTGTACATGGTAGTTATTTTCTTGCTTGCGTAATTTGGTCTTTTAATCATATTTTAGATTGCATTACAAAGATGTATTAACTTTTAATGGTGATATTCTGCATTGGTAGACGTTGATGACTGCAAGAACGGAACAGGTCCCTGTGATCACATCTGTAGGGACATGTTGGGGAGTTACCGCTGCTCCTGTAGAGACGGTTACGAACTGGGTTCTGATGGCTTCTCATGTGTGGGTACGTGTCTTTGCACAATTTAACTATTACTCTTTTATGTTCAAACAGCTTGCTACTGAGTTGCAATTTATGATTTGATTAATGTACAATTAAAATATCCTTTTTGTCAGTGTTGATATTAGCAACTGTTCATCCCTAGATGCCGATGACTGCAGATCCAACCCTTGTGAGAATGGAGCAACCTGTCATGATGGAAACAGAACCTACTCTTGTGAATGCCCAAGCGGATACAAGGGAGTAGACTGTGAATTTGGTAAGAATTTTTTTTATACATGTAGTATATTATGTTCCTTTTCTCTGACCATGCTCCATAGTACATCGGTGACCGTGAATAATGTGTTGGCTAAGGTCTGGGTTCGGTTTGTATTGCAGTATACACGTATGTATACTGCATATGCATGTGTGGTGGAAGGTGGGACGTACGTGGAACTACAGCATTAAGGTACTAATAAGAAGACACTGGAAAGAAAGAGAGAGAGGGAGAAAAAGAAAAAGAAAGGAAGAAAGAAAGAAAGAAAGAAAGAAAGAAAGAAAAAAAAGAAAGAAAGAAAGAAAGAAAGAAAGAAAGAAAGAAAGAAAGAAAGAAAGAAAGAAAGAAAGAAAGAAAAGAAAAAACCCGAAAGTTCTTACTAATTATTTATTTCCACAGCTCCTTGCAGTGAGGACTATGAGCCACCTGAGCACGGGTCTGCCACGTGCGCTGATGTTACGACAGGCGGAAGGTTCTGCACTGTGGCTTGCAACTCCCAACACGAGTTTGCCTGCAGACCTGCGGACGGTTACAGCTGTGACCTGGAGGGCCAGTGGCACGAGGTCGGACGATCAGGCTGCGAAGGTAGACTGACTGAAGATGCACCATGGCCGGATTGTTCTCGTAAGAGACCCCTTATTCTTTGCCAACAACTCGTCACAAACGATCTTCGTTGATGGCTAAATCGTGACTTAACATTTAATTTTAATTAACATCAATTTTCAGACACGACCATACCTACATAGTGGGTTTATGGTTTTAAAAAGATAAGCTAGCTACATACAGATGTATCAAGTTTAAGAGAAATCTGAATGCTTTAAATCAACAAGAGAAGATTTAACCCTTGTCCTGCTGGCATTCATGGCACAATATTTTTCAATAATGTCATGTCTTAGTTAGATCATAAACCCCATTTGTTTTGCTCTGCAGTGGCATACTTACTTCCGTATTTGTTTCCGTTCCGCTGCTGTAATGCGTTGTACGAGAAATACCCCCAAATCGTACCTATACAAGGTGTTATATAGATGGTATTGTATGTGCAGAACAACAATTGTTGTGCTCTGAAGGACAATGGTTTTCTTTACTGAATAACGGATTATCAGATCGCTGAACTTACAAAGATGACTTGTTTTTAAACAAAGATCCATTCAAACCTCCATGCCGTACTTTAAAAAGTCAAATATTAACCACATCCTCATCTTTTAATCGCGTAGCTAGGTCAATGAAATCCAACCCTCAACTATTTCAAACACTTTAAGTATACATATTCAAGGGCACCCCAAAATTCTAAGAGATGCCTGTTTTTATTATGCTAAGGACTTTATTGGAGCATCTCTTTGTAAAGTCTTGCATTTTAATGAGGCAACTAAATATCTCTATTTTAGAGACATACCGTGGTGGCTTTTGGCCTAGACTAAAAAGCGAAGCGGATTTCTACTACGACGGAGACTGCCAAAGCAACGTTACTGAGATCATAGAGATGTTTGAACGTCTGTTTAACACTCTCGGTGGAGCAGCAACCTCAAGCGCAGGAACCTGTAACATCGAGAACATCAACGTCACCTGCGGTGAGTCTACGCGCTCAGCAGCAAACAAGAACCCCCGATCTGGCCCTGGTTTCGTCGTGCAATTTGACATCGTCGCCGTCAGCAACTTGCCACCTGACCAGATCACCGAGGCTGATCAGACGGACCTCGTCTTTCTGCTTGGAGACATCACTTACGAAATTGAAGACAAGATCTACGCCGGAGAATTCAGGTATATCTATTAACCAATTAGTTATTTACACGAAGATATATATGCATGTAGTAAGTTTTATATATACTCTAGCCGATATGCATTATATGTATTTTAATACATTTTAACATGTTTCGTTAGCATGACGATTGGCGGTAGTAGAGCGGAAGGATCATCATTTACGATGACAGGACCGCCAACATTCAAAGGTGACTGCCACGATGGACAAATGACCGTGATTGAGAATTTCTCCGCTTATTGCCGTAAGTATCTATCGTACTATTCCTGTGTTTACGAAAACCGATCTATGGTCTAATATTTATCAATGAATAAAACTTATTCATGTGTGTTATCCTGTTAGTAATATTATGATATTTTGCTTTTTCAACCACAGTTGACTGCCCAAGAGGAACCCACAAGCCTGCAAACGGAACCTCCTGTGTGAAGTGTGACTACCAGGAGTACCAGGACGAGGAGGGACAGTCTTCCTGTAAACCCTGTCCGGCTGGAACTAACGCTGTTTACAGGGGGGCTAAGAACATCGCAGACTGTGCTGCAGGTATGTTCAACTTTTTCTTTTTACTTATCCGTCATGTAAGAGATTGATATAAGTAACATGTATCCAAAACAGATCTAACGATTGTAATAGTACAATTTTGTCGTAACAGTTTCTTTTCTAAATTTCTTGATTTCCTTTCCAGAATGTGTCGGTGATGAAGCTCCATGTGCGGACTGTCATCTTGCTCGAGGGAGCTTCCAGTGCAAGGTCAGTTTTACCAAATTGCAACCTCGGACGTCAAATAGATTGTTGCAGTTATTTTACTCTAGCTATGTGGCAGTATATACCCTAAGAAAAAAAGTTTCTTCAGATAAGTCTTTAAGTAATTGGTCCTAATGTGTAGTTCGTAGACTATTTTCGAACTCGTAATATAACTTTCTTTAAGGTCATGTAATGGGATTAACATTATAATCGCGATAATGCTCTAGTTTCTCTCCGCAGTGTTCTGACGGCTGGGCAGGCTCCAGTGACGGCCTGGTCTGTGGACGTGATGACGACTTGGACAACTTGTCTGACGTCCCTATAACATGTGAGAACGAGACCTGTATCATGGTAAGTGAGTTATGGCGATAATCATCTGCTTAAGTTGAGGGTAATCATTTGCTAAAGTTTAATTACACAGGTTACTTTTACATACAAAAAAATATTGTGCTTTTTTCTAAGGACATCTTTATTTCCTCAACATTTAATGGCCACAAGGTTGTTTACTGAAAATAATTCTTAACTAAAAGTATAGTGTCATGTGGACAGTGCACTGACAGCCCGATCCCATTTCTTTTCAATATGCAAACGATGTTTTAAGTTTCGGAAACAATCCATGCAGGACAACTGCCCTGGAATCCACAACCCTGACCAACTGGACATGGACGGAGATGGGAAAGGAGACGTCTGTGACGAGGACATCGACGGTGATGGAGTCTTGAATGACAAGGTGATAATTGTGGGAACGTACGATTGTTTTAGGTTCAATCATTCCAGATATTTTCTCACATTTAGCAAACAGCCAAGATAAAGACTTAATCAGGTAATCTATAAACATAATGCTATTTCTGACTATTGGTTGTATGAGGCATAATTAAATGGCGAACAGAATCCTTGTAGCTTGAATTATTATACTTATTAGACTAAGGGAACACCTTAAACCATTCTGTTGTTCCAGGACAACTGCCCAGCTGTTCCCAACCCTCACCAGATCGACTCGGACGGTGATGGAGTTGGCAGCATGTGTGACAACTGTGTCTCCACACCCAACCCTGACCAGGCTAACACTGACGACACTGAAGGTGGGGATGCCTGTGAGGCAGCACTGCATGAAGAGATCGGTGAGTTGAAACTTGCTTGAACTTGACAGGTCAGATAGAGTAGATAGTATTTGCATATAGTTCTTATGTTTGTGAGATATTTCTACTAATGCCGCTGTCTTATAGCATTCATGGTCCCCACCTCACTGATAGGCGGGCTGTTACCATCACCTAGCTGCAATACAATCAAAGACAAGTCGTATTAAGCTTTAAAGTACTAAGAAAATGTATTTTGTTACTGACAAGAATCTCCAGTACGTCTGTGAATGTTAGACATCCCCATAAGTACCCCCGGTATTTCTATTAAAAATGTTTTATATCTAACTCGTTTTAGCTCTGAAAGACATGTTAGTTGCAAACCCTGCCATCCGAGGTACTGAGGTACCTCTATTCTGGGACCTTCTTTTCAATTAGATAAGCTTTTAATGGAAACGCAAAAAATGCATACTGCTAAGTAGAATCAGCTATATGACGCCGACGCCATGCTGTATCTGAGCTAAACAGTAGACCGAGCAATAAACTTACTATTGTTTTGTTTTTCTACCACAGCCAAGCTGTGTGAGAATGAGCCAGATGGGACCTACCTGCCCCATCCCCGTGACTGCTCCGGCTACATCCAGTGTCACCAGGCGGGACATGACGCTGTGTTTACCTGTCCTGGGGGAACTAGCTGGAGCCAGGAGCTGCAAACCTGTGCCATGGCGGATATTATCAGTTGTGACTAGGAACGGTAGGTGCAATGTGGCAAAGAGATGAAATATAAGTGAGGTCCATTGGTAAGATAAAATATTTAGGACCTGTAATCATGGTTAGGCCATGTTGATTTGATTATATGGATGACATCCGCGCGCGCATGAATTTTCGACCGTTTCCAAAAAAAAAAAGTTGTCAACCATACTGTAAATCTTACCGTACTTTAATTCTAAAATGAGCAAAAATATACCATAAGTTACGAAAAAAAAAGTAATAAAAACTATACCAATGTCGTAGAATGCCAAAATCAAACGAAAAAAGACGAAATTGTAAAGAAATGAACTTGAAGATTAGATTATTCGCCAAACCATATTCTGTGCCATTTGCTCAACCCTCATGACCACATAGATTTTATAATGAAAAGAACTTTTTTTTTGCAAAACTTTTTTTATTCGCACGCGCGCATCAGTTTTGGGGCTCCCGGGGGATGTCATCCATATAATCAAATCAACATGGCCTTACAATAAAAATACTGTTTATCCTTAATTATAATTGAACCTTGTTTACAATTGATATTATAATAGAAAGTTCATCATATTTAATATATAGTAATTAGGTCCAGGGCATAGACTGATGGGATCTTAAGTTAATCTTACATTTTTCATGTTTTACATAAATGTGTTGACAGTAACATATATTACAACTGTGCATGGGCGCTTTTGGTTAGCCCTAACCTGAATTTTTTTTTAATAATAATATCACTCATAAAGAAGCCTGTGAATAACATAACATAATTTACATTTTGTAAAGAGTTATTTTTACTGTATATGAATGATTTTTTTCTTTTAATTTTGTCATAATAACGCCCTGTTTTGATGTTAACACATGCTGTTTGTATTTACTACAGACGAACCCAACAAGACGGACGAACCCAAACGGACCCACGAGACATGCATTTATCAGCAACTCTGCTCATCTTTCAGAACTAGTACAACGTCGCAACGCTTCAAAGGCAACCAAAAGAAACTGCAATGGCTTGCTTGCCCATTTCTCCTTCAAATGCTAATAAAGAGCTTAACTTTAAATCATAAAATCTTTTTTGTCATGTCATCATTGATTATTGAGTTACTAAGGATCAGCATTTAGGATAGGAGTGATTATGAAATAGGTAGGAATCGAAATGTGACAGAAAAGGCAATAGAGTACGTTAAGACAAGCAATAGGATAGAAAACATACATTTTATTATGAGTCACTAAAGTTGTATAAAAGTAGCCTTGCTATCAACTGTTTTTTTTATTTATTGATCCGAGAGAAACTTCCTCAAAGAAACCCGACAGGATAACCCCACAGTAAAATAACAACACATTAGGTCCCACCAAATTAAAGTATTGGTTTAACAGTTTTCTCTAGAAAAATAAAGGAGCGGGCGGGCTAAAAAAATAAAAACAGGCCTAGGCATCCTATTATATTTATTGCTCAAAATGGTACGTTGGGAGCCGTGAAGTCAACGCACCAGGCTGGTTCAAAATTTAAACAAAGAATTTTGAACTTTTAAAGATACCATTTCATTTAAAGATGGAATAACTGTAACAGCTAGAAATAAAAGTTCTTAAATATTCTTGCAAATCAGAAAAAATGTAAATGTAAACATAATAAAAGTCAACCAAAACAAAAACAAGAAAGAAAGAAGCCCTCGCGAACAAGCAGAAATCGTAAAAGATAAACATTACAATGGAAATGTGATAACGTATGTTACAGATTCCTCTTAAATCTCCAAGAAAACTTGGACACACACCAAAGTCAAAGTTCCACAGCCTTTATTTTCCACACCCTTACTCCAGGGCTCCCTTCTCAGAATGCCCAGACAGACTACCCCTCTCCCCTCTGGAATGCCTTCCTGACCTCGATATTCCATTCCGGGCTTAACCATTACTTATCAGGGGAGGGTATAGACCTACACATGTACTGGCAATTTTCTCTAGCATGTGATAACGTGCTTGTATAGAATAATGCATACTATTATAGCAAAAGTAAAGGGTCACTTTCCCACCCCAAGAGGTATATGGTGTAATGATCATTGGTCAGGTGCGGTAGCCACCGAAAAGAAAACACTAATTGAGCGTACCTGACCAGAGATTATTTCACCATTTACACCAAAGATAAGTCGGGGCATTAACTTTATTATCATACAGCTTTTCCAACTCACAGTTATTTGACAAAAATTCCTTTATAAAAATCCTCCATTGATAAAAAAAAACTCAAACATTCTATGTTACGTGAAACAAGATGGCGAGGACAGAAAAACAGAGATGGTGCTATGCTGAGGTTATGTCATGTTAACTGTAGTCAACGTACAGAACTGGACGGTAACATGCATACAATTTTGTCAACAGTCTAGATCATGTTACCGTCCAGTTCTGTGCGTTTGCTACAGTTCACATGACATGACCTCAGGATAGCACCATGCAAAAGAGGGAGTTGTGTGTACATTTTCCATGTTTTACATAGATGTATTGACCGTAACATTGATTATAAGTGTACTTGAGCGCTTTTTTTAACCTGACCTGTTGAAGTATGAAATCTGATTATTATTTATCATAATATCACCGATAAAAAAAGTTTGACTAACGTAACATACTTTAAATTTTGTTAAGAGTTATTTTTAATGTGGTTAATTACCGTCCAGTTCTGTGAGTTGGCTACAGTTCACATGACATGACCTCAGCAGAGCACCATGCAAAAGAGGGAGTTACAGTGGAAGCAGCCTACAGTCCAGAGCCAATTTTTACATATTTTGTAGATTGTACCCTGCACCCGAACATGTACATTTTATCTAGAATAAAGCTTGATTGAGCATCCTACTTTAGAGCACGACGTCCCACCTCCTCACTTTGGATTCCTTAATCATGAAATTCGTTATATACTGTCGTTGAAGAGATTCATCAGTCACGTATAGTATAAGTTCAGTAAGATAATTCTTTCAATCAGTGACTATTAAATCCTAAGGTACATACCTCCGAATTTTCGACGACTAGTCAGTTCGTCTTGGTCACGGAATGATCCTAGTCTCGCAAGATAACGCGAGACCAGGACCAAGACGAACTGACTAGTCGTCGAAAATTCGGAGGTATGTACCTTAGGATTTAATAGTCACTGATTGAAAGAATTATCTTACTGAAGTTATATACTGTGTTCTGCCACATTTAACCACGACGGGAATTGACAAGTGTCAAATTAGACCAAATTTGGGCCCAGGTGGTATATCTGGTACTACCGTTGGTTCACACGAATATACTAGTTAATATTCAGGGTATATGCTGGTAGACATCATAACAAAAATATAATGTCTACCAACGAAGCATTGTCATGAGGGCACCTGAACAAGATATTTGGGCAATTTGAGTTAAATTTACCTAAGGCCTCACTGACAATACGCTCCTGGTTAAACATCATCAAAGTACCTGGATGTATGCTTTATGTCAGGACTCCAATGCCCGCAACACGAATATCTGCAGTTCGTAGTTCTTCCTCTAACAGGCTGTTTCTGTGCTGGGACTTCAGCGGCCGAGTATGACTCACTTCGCTCAGAATACACGGTACTTAGCAAGCCACCAAGTGGCCTAAAATTTAATCATTTAGAGGTCTTATCAAGATCTATGCATCCTTTTAATATTAATACAATCCATTTAAGCCTTCTCGAGTTATTGTATTTACAGACACACAGACGAATGCCAATGAAAACATAACCTTCTTGGCGCAACTAAGCCAAGGTAGTACGCCTAATTTCCTTTGTGGAGGCCCAAAGTTGATACGCGGCGTAGTGAGTCGTCGGAGCGAGTGACGGGAACTTACACTGGAATCCAGTCCATTCTTTATCCGTTTCGCTCCAACGATCACTACGACGCAGAATGATCTAGAACGCCCCTCCACATTGAAATGTCTGGTGCTGACTGACGTCAAAAATAAATAATTTATTTCCGGAACCCTATATCTCTCATGCTCAGAACAGTGTAACGTCTAAATAACTTCATACCAAAAACAAGTTTCCTTGATTCGGTGGACCAGACCCCTTGCTTCTAATTTTGATGAATATTTATGTCTATTTCTTAATTTATTCTGCAAAGAAATGATTGAACATGAGTAGGCGGAGCTAAAATAGCCTTCTTAGCAACGACCCTAGCAACGGTTTTCTCCAGAGAAGGCCTTTGGGAATAGGACTTTTGGATACTTATATCTCTGGATAAAATAGACGGATTTTTATGCTTTCAAGCTTACAATGTAGGGAATGATACAGATGAAAAGACAGATGAATGCATAAAGCAGGGTCAAATATTTAATTTGAATATTTGACACGTTTTGAAAAGTTAACATTTTATTTTTAGCCATTATTACCATAAAATTATTGAATTTCGAAATTTTATAACTTTTTGTAGAATTGACATATCGAAACAAAATTAAATCTTTTGTAATCCTTGGTTCCTGTTCTATCAGTCCATGTAGTTACATTGACTGAAAATATCCATATTTGATTATTTACCACTCCCTTTGCAATATCAGTGCAAAAGGAAGCGGTTCATTTGAGGTCAAAGTTCAAAGTCAGATAGCAAGGTCAAAGCTACCAATGTGAAACGGCTATCATATCAATAAATATTCCACAGACATCATACTTTTCAAAAACCATGATGAGAATTTTGTCACCTCATGTGATACCGATATGTGGAATTTGAGGGTCTGGGCCATGGG